TTGGATTAATAATACAAAAAAAAAATCATAAAAAAATAATAAGTCCACATCCGGCTTAAGATCAACATGTGTAGACGTGTTGTTTTATATTTCTAGTTAATACGAGTGCAATTATCAAGATTCCGTCATGCAAATTAATCTTTCAAGATCCCCTATAAGGAAGATCGTTATTGGCACTTCGATGGCAAAAGAAATTATTCAGTTAAAGAGGGCTATAAAGTTGAAACGAGTTTTTACGCTCCCCCGCCAGCCAATCTGCAATTAGTCTTTGAAAGTGGTGGAAATTCTTATGGACCCTAAATATCCCTTTAAAGGAAATGAGTTCAACTCGACAAAAGAAAACAAATAAAAACTCACCGAGTTGCAGAGAAAGGTGTGCGTGAGGGGCAGAGAAAAGAAAAAATAAATTTTGTGTAATATCCCTAATATATTATATTAAGAGTTAAAAAAGAAGAGAAAATATTAATTAGTAGAACTTATTTTAATTGCCACATAGATGTCATGTAGGCAAGTTGACTCCATAAGAGAGCCAATAATTGGCTCCCTAGCAAAACCTCTAAGGGCACCCGCATTGGTTCATTAAATCCATCCATTTAAATGCATAGTTAATGTTCAACCGATGGGAGTCCATTCATTTGATGGTGAAAATTAGCTGGCCCACCACTGCCGTTCAGCACATTGAACGGCTATTTGCAATATTTTTTATTCTTTTTTTTTGTTTTTCTCTCTTCAACAGCTATTTCCAAACTTTTTTTGTATTTTTTTTTCCTTTTTCTTTTTTTCTTTTGCAACGGCTCTATCCAAATCTTTTTTATTCTTTTTTGTTTACTTTTGATTAAATTGTTTTTGTATCCGTTTAATCTTTTTTACATTCTATCCGTTGAGTTTTTTTTTTTTTTATATATATATACTTTCTATCATCATTTTTGCCTATAAATATATCTCATTGTTACATTTCTTCTACACCACAAATTTAGCAACTTTCATTTCTGAAAAGAAAAAATGGATTCCAATAATAGGCAAAACTTTCAAAATTTCTCAAATTCTAATACTAACAATCCTGATGAATTTCCATTATTCCAAAATTCACAAACTCCGCCAAATTTATCATTTTCACAAGCTCCTTATCCAGCACAATTTTTTCCACAATTCCCATCAAATTTTCCTTTTATGCAACAATCCCAAAATTATCCAATGTCTGGCAATATTCAATACTCACAATATCCTCCACAAGCTTTATTTCAAAATCCACCACCTGAATATTGGCAGTACATAAGTAGTCAAAATCTGGTGCAATCTTCTCCGCAACAATCGAGTCAATCTTCCGGATCTCAAATGAGGAAAGAACCCAATACTCAAACTTACGTTCCGGAAACACAATTGCAGGATTGTGAAGCAGCTATAAATGTTGAAATGCCAAGAAACACACGTGTTGCTGCTGAGGGCCGGAAAAAACGTCCACAATGGACAAAGGAAGAGGACGTGCTATTGGCAAAAGCTTATGTGACAATAAGTGACGACCCTATTACCGGTAATGATCAGAAGGCCGAAGCGTTTTGGGTACGTGTTACAAAATATTATAATGAAAATACACCTTCTGATTATATTTCTAGAGATTTGAATATGATAAGATCTCACTGGCATAATACAATTCAAAAAAAGGTGTATCGGTTCAATGAGTGCTATAACAGTATTTACGGTGTGTATCGAAGTGGTTGTAGTGATGAGGATATATTAAGTCGGGCTTACGAAAAATATCGTAGTGAGAATAATGGTGTAGCCTTCAATCTTGAGCATGTGTGGAGAATCGTAAAAGATCGTCCTATGTTCACTCCACAATCTTCTAATGATATTTTTGTTGAGAGAAAAAAAACGAGAATTGATGAGTCTGGTGCCAGCAACACTTCATCAAAAGGGGATGCGAGCATTGATCTAGATGAACTTCATGAAGTGGCTCGCCCAATCGGACAGAAGGCAGCCAAACGAAAGGCCAAGGGCAAAGGAAAATCCAACCTTGATGAGATGACTGCAGAATATAACAACATGGTTAAGCACCTTGCTGAGTTAACAAGCTTGAAAAAGACTGAAGTTGAAGTTAAAAAAGCAACACTTGAGGAAAAGAAGCAGAGAAATCGTCGAAAAGACTATGATATTTTAATGAGGGACACAAGTCACATGACCCAAGAGCAACGTATTACTCATGAGAAAATGTGCCAAGTAATTCGAGAGAAATGGAACTTTTAGACTTTCATTATCTATTTTAATTATCCTTGTAATTCTGTACGTTGTAATTTGCAAATTTGAATTTTCATCTTATATTTCATTTAAGTTTTGCAAAATTAAAACTATGTAAACTCATCATATTTCATTTAAAGCAAACTCACAATATTAAAGCAAACTGATATATTTCCTAGTCAAAAGAAGGAAGCTTCCTCACAATTTCCTAGTCAAAGGAAGGGAGCTTCCTTACAACTTCTTGGTCAAAGAAAGGAAACTTCCTCGTAAGTTCCTAGTCAAAGGAAGAGAGCTTCCTCGTAAGTTCCTGGTCAAATGAAGGGAGCTTCCTCGCAACTTCATCAAAAGAAGCATTTGTTTGGTTATAAATACCTCATTTTGTATCCCATTTTGTATCCCATTCCAAGTGAAAGAAAAAGAAGAATCCTCACAAAATGTCTCAAAATTCATATAGATCCGAGTCTAATTCATCATCATCCACCGATAGTGAAGATGGTGAAAACACTAACGATTTAGAAGTTGAAATGATTTCATCAATCGTTCAACGAAGCCACGAGTTACTTCAAGCATACCAACATGAAATTGAAGTTCGTAGAAGAAGAAGGTTCATCCAGAGAAATCGAGAAGATGGACATAACAGACTTGTAAGTGATTATTTCTCTGATCATCCTGTCTACCCGGATCATATATTTCGTAGGCGTTTCCGTATGCGAAGAGAATTATTCCTTCGTATTGTGAATGCACTTCAGACACAATCATCATATTTCCAGCAAAACTTTGATGCATCAGGAAGACAAAGTTTGTCACCACTTCAAAAATGCACAGCAGCCATTCGTCAGTTGGCTTATGGAGTCCCAGCTGACCACCTTGATGAGTATTTACGTATGGGTGAGTCAACTGCTATCAAATGTCTTTTTAAATTTTGTGAAAGTGTGGTTCAAATTTTCGGTGATGAATATTTGAGAAGACCGAACAGTAGCGATGTTCAAAGACTCCTCCAAATGCATGAAGAAAATCATGGTTTTCCGGGTATGCTTGGAAGCCTTGATTGTATGCATTGGGAATGGAAAAATTGTCCAGTTGCTTGGAAAGGCCAATTTACAAGAGGGCATGGGTCTCCTACGATTGTCCTTGAAGCGGTTGCTTCACACGATTTGTGGATATGGCATGCCTTTTTTGGTGTTGCAGGATCACGTAACGATATCAATGTATTGTATGAATCTCCTCTATTTAATAATGTGTTGCAAGGAAATGCACCAAACATTCATTTTACTGTCAACGGCACGCAATATGCAAATGGGTATTATCTTACAGATGGAATATATCCAGAATGGGCTACGTTCGTAAAGTCTTTTCCTTGCCCGTCAGATCCTAAAAGAAAGTTATTTAAAGAAAAACAAGAAGCTGCTCGAAAGGATGTGGAAAGAGCATTTGGGGTGCTTCAGTCTCGATGGGCAATTGTAAGAGGTCCTGCTCGATTTTGGTATAGAAGAAAACTAAAATTTGTTATGTTGACATGCATTATTTTACACAATATGATTGTTGAAAATGAAGGAGTTGTAGTAACAAATTGGCACAATGACGAGGATGAAGAGCCCGCACAACCTGTCCAGGGTTCAAATCGAGAATTTCAAAATTATATCCGTAGAAGTTCAGAGATACGAGATAACACCGTTCATCATCAACTTCGTGCCGATTTAGTTGAGCATATTTGAACCCATTTTAGCCACTAAAAAGTTATATTTTGTAATTGTATTATTTTTTTCTTGTGTAATCTTAATTTAAGTTATTTTGGTATTGTAGTGTGCTTTTATTTTCATGTATTTAAAATTTATTATTATAATTTAAAACTATTAATTTTATATTTTTATTGAGAATAGAATATTAAAATTTATATTGAATGAATGGATATAATGGGTCCCATATTTGTATTTAAATGTGGAGGATTGCTCAGAATAAATAAATCTTTTATATAAATATAAACATTCTAAATTATTTATCCAAATAAATTTGAATTTTTCTGGAAATGAGGGAGACTCTTTTTACCGCGGGCCCGCGCTGTTAGAATGTGAGGCTCTCTTTTCGGCAGACACACTACAATTCTCCACGGATCACAGTAACACTCCATCTCTCGTCAATCTTCCCTTACCAATCGAGACACATTTGGATCGCAACCAATTTTTCGATCTTCACCAGCATTGGCGGTTTCAGGCGTTTCATTTTCTTCCTGATTACTATTTCGAACTGATTTTCACTAGGTTAGATTGATTTTTGATCTGTTAAGTATTGCAATTTGCCTTATTCAATTCCATTGGTGAATAGCATTTGGAGTTCTGTGAAACTGTGATTAATTTTCTTCGGTATAATAATTTCGGGTTAGGGAATTACTCATCGTCTCCATATCTGTGTTTCGGGCTGTGATTTGCATGTTTGTTTGTTAAAGACAAATGAGTCTGTGCTCTAATGTATACACAGAAAACTCATGAAAATTGAATCAGTAGCAGTGAGACACTGCTGGTCATTTTGCTAACCCTTATGCATTTCTGATGTCTGCCGCTCAAGTTCAGATTCTGATTGATATAGCAGAGTCTCGGTAGCAGTTAAAATGAGTGATTTAGTTATCTCTGCTTTTTTACTTGGTTTGCCACCATTTGGAATTATGGCTGATGCTGATTTGGAACACCGTTTTTGATTCCATTCAGGGATTGTATCTAATGTTTGTGGATTGGGAGACAGTGTAACTAATCTTTTTTATTTTACTATTGCAGGTTCCCATTTGGAAAAATCTTTTATTATAGATGGAAAGCAATCCAAAAAAGCCAGTGAATCCTGCCGACATTTCTGATGCAAAATATGTTTCCGGACTAAGTACCATTCTGGTTGCAACCATACAGGAAGCTAAAGAACGGATTTCTCAGATAGAATATATATATTGCAGTCAGCTCTTTCCAAAATTTCAATTAAGTTCTCAAAGCTTGCAAGAAGTATATTCTGAGGCGAGGGAAGCTGCAGAAAGTGCATACAAGCAAAAGGAAGAGGATCTGCTGCTTCAAATTGAGAAGCTTCAGTATCAAAAGCATCATGTTCTGGAAGAAAATCAGTCGCTCAAGGCGGAGAAGGAAAAATTTACTGACATGGAAAGACGATCTCGTAATCGTATTGAAGAACTTCATGAAGAGTTGAAACAGCAAACTATGGAAGCAAATGAAGTGAGGGAAGCACATCAGAATCTGCAGAAGCTTCTAGAATCCAAGTCATCCCTCTTGCATAGCTATGAAGTGACCATACGAGAGCTTGAAGATAGAAATGCCGAGCATCTACAAATGCAAAAAAAGCTCGAGTTCGGAACTGAAGAATTGAGACAGGAGCTAATGAATAAATCGAAGGAAGTTGATGAGGTAATGGAGCTACAGAATAAGCTTCTCCAAATGAATCAAACAAAGTCCAATTTGATAGTACAGAAAGATAGCCAGCTGAAGGAGTACGAAGAGAAAACCAATGGGTTCATCTCCAAGCTTCAAAACATGGATAACAAAGCTAATGAACTGCTGCTGGAACTTAAATTTAAGTCAGAAGAATTAGACAAGGGGAAAGAATTGAATGGTAATATGCTCAAGAAAATTGAGTCTCAATCCTTCGAGTTAATGAATAACGAACTACTGGTGAGTAAGTACGAGAAGGAAAATAAGCTTCTTGCATCAGAAGTAGAATGTTTGGTGCATCGTGTGGATTCTGTCCAGAAAGAACTAGAGAAGAAAAGCTTTGAACTGGAAGAGGTAAAGAAAGTGAAAGAGCAGTTGCTGGAACAAAGGGATTCTTCTAATGTTGAGAGGATCAAGCGAGGGAAAGCGCGGGAAGAATTCATGGAGGAGAGGAAGCAGCTTCTGGATAAACAGATTGGATTAGAAAATGAAGTCGATAAGCTTCGTAAAAGTCTATCTGACAGAATGGTGGAATCTTGTGAAGGGATGAAGCTGCATGGGAAGTTGTTGCTGCAGATTGAGGTTAAAGATTCTGAGATGCTGGCTGAAAAGAAGAAAAAAAGAGACGTTATTATTGCTTACAAGAAACTGAAATCTCAATACAACTATCTCCTCAAAAAGTATGCTGTTACTTCGGAAGCTGCTTTACCTCTCGACAAAATGGAAGATGAAATCACAACAATGGGGAACAATCAGACTCTAGTAGCATCACATGGTAAGCTCCATGGTTACTGTATGAAAATATGTTTCCAATTTAACTTTCTTGAGATTTGAAGTGGACTTATTGTTTAGAATCTCCTGATTGCACCCAACAACAATTATGAAGCAGCAGTTGTTTCTAAAAGTGAAAAAATATGCTGCTATTTTAGCATGCAGAATTGTAGGTATAGTTGATATGTGGTTTTCCAATACTATCCGTTAATTGTTTTTGCCTTGATGCATTCTGTTCACTACAACCTCTCGTCATTCTCGTTTCATTCTCTTGTTGCAGTTATGGAGAAAAGTAAAGCCTCTGGAATTACCTCTGATGTAAAAAAACCACTAGACGAGAAACAAGTACCAGAGGACAAGAAAGGACCTATATTGGTTCAAAGATCTAGCCCTATCTCACCATCCACTTCAAATACTATAAATGCCCCAAAAAACGCCAATAACGTAAAATCTTGCCCCCCAGCTGGTCTGAAACGTCCTATTTCTTACTGGAGGGACACGAGGTCGCACCAGAGCTACATAGGACCCGATCCACACGATAATTTCATGGATACTCCTCTGGAAAATGTGAAGCAGAACTTGGGGAAGGCTGTGAAGGAAGATGTTTATGGCATAAACATGAGCCTCGATGACTCTGAGGATCACATGCAGGGCATGAATGTTGATGAGGGGCTGCAAAATCCGCATACATTGGCCACAAAGGCTGGGACATCAGGGTTTAAGTACGTGGGGCCTGTACGTAAAAAAATCGAGAGGGAAAATCTGAAAGGTATCAAGTGCAAGCAATGCAAGAAGTTCTATGACGCTGTTCTGTCGGGCTCGGGGAAAGGTGATAAGCAGAACATCCACTGTGAGCATCATGATGGGGTGTCAAGGCACCGGTATAGGTACGTACCTCCGTCAACTCCTGAGGGGTTTTGGGATATTGGATTTGAATCTGAAATGTAGGTCGTTTGAGTTAGTTGTATATTACGGATTTAAAACTAAGAGTGGACATTAGGTACAGCATTATTTTCCCAATCAAGAAAATGTAACTAACAAACATGCTATTAGAGAAAGAATAAACAT